TACTATGCAGTACGTATTCACAGTTGTCGTGCGATCCAACTAACGCTGTGTTTGTGCACACTACACACTGATATGTGTAATGATTTATGCCTTATATATTGCCCTGTGTCATTCAGTGCAAATGGCTATTCTGATTACTACGTATTCACAGTTCGTGCGCGATGCATCTGATGCTGTGTTACGTACACACCGCACTCTGTTATGTGTAATGTTTTATGCCATTATATATTGCCCTGTGTCATTCAGTGCAAATGGCTATCCTGATTACTACGCAGTGCGTATTCATAGTTGTCGTGGGATGCAACTAACGCTGTGTTTGTGCACACTACACACTGATATGTGTTATGATCTATGCCGTCATATTTTGCCCTATCCTTCAGTGCAAATGGCTATTCTGATCACTACGTATTCACAATTGTTGTACGATGCAACTGACGCTGTGTACACACAACGCACTGATATGTGTAACTATTACGCCGCTATATATTGCCCTGTATCCTTCAGTGCAACTGGCTACTCTTTTACTGTGTAGTCACAGTTGTTGCGCGATGCCACAGACGCTGTGTTATGTACATTGATATGTGTCTATGATTTATGCCGTTATACGTTGCCCTGTATCCTCAGTGCAGCCGGCTATTCCGATTAACTACGTATTTACAGTCGATGTCGCTATGCCTCTGACGCTGTGTTTTTTGTACACAAAAATGTAACTACGCTTGTGCATAGTCTCAGTCGTCGCTACGGCGACTTGCATTGCATCTGTGTAGATATTGAAGCGTTATGCTGCCCTTCAATGTAATGGGCCATTGTGTATGCATATTCATGCAGTTTCGGTCGCTTCAGCAACTTGAGCTGCATTATACACACAGATGTTTAAAATGTGCACACTGATGTGTTATGCTGTTATGTTGCCCTCTATCATTCAGTGCAACAACCAGCTATCCTATCTAACTGCATATTCAGTTTGTCGCTACAGCGACTACACTGCACTTATGTACGTATAAGGACACGTGTTGCTATTTTGTTGCTCTGTTTCTTTCAGTGCAAAACTAGCTATCTTAATCTACCGTGCATACTCACAGTTTCTGAATGTATGTACGTACACGGATGTGCAATTTACCATGTGTTATGCTGTAATGCTGCCCCGTTTCCGTGCAGCTAGCCATCCTGATCGAACTGAACATCTCAGTTTCTGTCTCTACGCAGTTCTGTCGCTACGGCGACTTATGCTGCGTTATGTACATGCATGGATGCGCTACAGCGACCGATGCTGTTACGTACATGTGCTATGCTGTTATGTTGCCCCGTTTCCTTCAGTACAACTGGCTATTCTGTGCTAACTCGTCTACTCACAGTTGTAGCTACGGCTATGTGTTTGTTGTTTACTGAGGTGCTATGCTATTATGGGGCTATTATCTACTGCGTATATTCATCAGAGCCCAGGTGGTTGCAATTCCAGCATTTTGCCCGGATGAGGTCAGTGTTTCAGAGTCTCAGAAGTACGCTTGTGCCCCATGCGTGCCCTGCATGCTTATGTGAACAGAACTAGCCAGTTTCGAACTTCAGAGCAGCTCTTCGTCTGCTACGCGGGTGCTAAGAGGCGGCACGCTGTCGAAACGGAGGCTATCTCACGGGATAGTGGAGGCCGTGCACTGGCTGGCTTATGCTTCACGGGAAGCCGTTTCCCTATAGGGGTGCACGCCCACTCCACTAGGAGTTGGCGTCATCATGGGCGTGGGCGAAAGGCATGTCTATTCAAGACATTTGTTTCGCGGCAGGTTGGTCGTCTCGTAATACCTTCGCGAGATTCTATAACTTGAATATCCCTTCATTCGCACCACATGTCTGTCAGTGCAGGGAGAGAAAGCTGAGCTGTCGTTGGACTAGGCTAGACTGCCCCGATGGCGCGCGCTCTAGCCACGGTTCGACTAGTCGTCAGACAGTGCGAGTTATTATTAGCATAGCTATCATGTTCACTATATTGTGCCCTTTGTTATGTCCGCATTCATAGCCGGCAGTATTTTCCTAAGCACCAATCACTTGCTGCAATCTCCCTCCATTCAGTTCAGCGTGCTTAGCTTGATGGGAGGGGCCTTCGTTGGTGCAGATGCCGAGTTGGCTCTGTGCCAATAGATGTTTCAACCAGGTCCGGTGTCTGTTCCTGAGAGCTGGGCGGGGTTTCTCCCACGCGGCGGGGGTTTTATTGTTCCCCATACGTAATGTCGAGAGACCGACTCGATAAGGGAACGTCTCTGGTTACTCACGTAGTTGGTTCCCTGAGAGGAGGGAACGAGACATTACGTAACCTGCCGTGTGGGAGGGACTCTCAGTCTCCTTACTCTCGTTCAGCTAAGATTCTGAGGTTTTTGGCGCCCGCCGTCACCTATATTGAGCAGTGTCAGCCAATTAGGTGATGGCGGGACCGCCATTGGCTATTTGCAAGCAAAAGAGTTATTCTATCAGACTTCATGATTCGAGGAAAATGGATTTCCCCATACGTAATGTCTCGTTCCCTCCTCTCAGGGAACCACGGTTACGTGAGTAACCAGAGACGTTCACATACACCTGATAGCAGCTGTAAAACAGGTATGTCACAGACACTGAGGATATTTTATTTCATCTTAATTGTAAACGCCTCTTTAAATATAAATTGAAAAACATCTGGTGGCTTTTTTTGTTTAAAAAATATATTACTTAATCAGTGTTACAATATTTAACCCCTTTATTTCAGGTATACAGGTAAATTCTTTAAATAAAATGTCACAAGTTTTGTTCCTTTTTAATTCTCATAGTCTAAAATGTACAGAGTTTCTGTGTGATTTCAATGCAAGAAAGTCTCTTTAATATGTTCTCAATGCTTCAGCCTCTAAACAGCTGGACAAAAAAAAATCACGATATTGATTTGTTCATGATGTGGATGATAATTTCATGGACTAAATTTGCCATTGATTCACAAATTCTCATATGCACAATTAATGTAATTAATTTAACTCTTCAACATAAAACATTTTCCTTCATAAATTCACATTAACACTAGTTTTCTGAACTGTTACTTTGGCCTTTGGCAAACGATCAAACCTCACCACTAATTTTAGCAAATGACTCGATATACTCTTAAAATTTCAGCTTTGGTTAAATTTGAATATCAAATTATTTACTTGTAAGTGATGGACCTGAATGTGAACTTTACTCACTTTCCTTAACTTTGGGCAATGCTTTTTCTCATGAGTCTATAGACTAGATGAAACGGCTGAACACTTGTGCAGTTTCTCTCTGGTATGAACTCTCTGGTGTTTTTTAGTAACTGCATCTAGTGAAGGTCTTCCCACAGTCAAAGCACATATAAGGTCTCACACCAGTATGAATAATCTCATGCTGATTTAAATGGTCCAGCAGTAAAAAACTCTTTTCACAAACAGAACACACATGAGGCTTCACATCTGCATGAATTTTCATAAGTCTTTTCAGGTGCTCTGCCACAATAAATGTCTTGTCACACTGATCACAGCCGAATGATCTTTTTCCTGAGTGAATCAGCATGTGACTTTTGAGATTACATGCCCGTGTGAAGCTCTTTCCACACTGACGGCATGTGAAGGGTTTCTCTCCGGTGTGGATTATCATGTGTGTCTTCAAACCTGGTAACCAATGTACTTGTATTGACACTCCTGCTTGATTGGTATAACCAATGAGGTTCTTTCTCATGTAAAGCAGCACGTTTGAGCTTCTGCAAGAACCAATGAGGTTCATTCTCATGTTGAATTTAATAGAATTTAGAATTCCTTTTGAAACCCATGAACATACTCCAATTTATATGAAGTTCAAACATACACTATATTGCCAAAAGTATTGGGACACCCCACCAAATTATTGAATTCGGGTGTTCCAATCACTTCCATGGCCACAGTTGTATAAAATCAATCACCTAGGCATGCAGACTGCTTCTACAAACATTTGTGAAAGAATGGGTCATTCTCAGGAGCTCAATTAATTCAAGCGTGGTACCATGAAAGGTTGCCACCTGTGCAATAAGTCCATTCGTGAAATTCTCACTACTAAATATTTCACAGTCAACTGGGAACAACAGCAACTCAGCCACATAGTGGTAGGCCACGTAAAACCACCGAGTGGGTCAGCGGATGCAGAGGCACACAGTGCGCAGAAATCACCAACTTTCTGCAGAGTCAATCGCTACAGACCTCCAAATTTCACGTGGCCTTCAGATTAGCTCAAGAACAGTGCGTAGAGCTTCATGGAATGGGTTTCTATGGCCGAGCATCCGCCACTGGACTCTGGAGCAGTGGAGACGTGTTATCTGGAGTGACGAATCACGCTTCTCTGTCTGTCAATCCGATGAACGAGTCTGGGTTTGGTGGTTGGCAGGAGAACGTTACTTGCCTGACTGCATTGTGCCAAGTTTGGTTTTTCAGGGGTTGGGCTTGGCCCCTTGGTTCCAGTGAAAGGAACTCTTAAAGCTTCAGCATACCAAGACATTTTGGACAATTTCATGATCCCAACTTTGTGGGAACAGTTTCAGGATGTTCCTGTTCCAACATGACTGCGCACCAGTGCACAAAGCAAGGTCCATGAAGACATGGATGAGCGAGTTTGGTGTCGAGGAACTTGACTGTCCTGCACAGAGTCCTGACCTCGACCGGATAGAACAGCTTTGGGATTAATTAGAGTGAGACTGCGAGCCAGACCTTCTCGTCCAACATGAGTGCCTGAGCTCACAAATGCGCTTCTAGAAGAATGGTCAAAAATTCCCATAAACACACTCCTAAACCTTGTGGAAAGCCTTCCCAGAAGAGTTGAAGCTGTTATAGTTACAATTCAAATGCAGGGATTGATCCCCTCATACGTACCAGCTAAGAACAGTCTTCTCTTATTAACCTCTACGTCCCAGTCAACCAGTTTACATAGCGACCCCTACAGGGTAACTACGATACTTCATATAACTTGCATATGACCATGTTTAACAGTGTAAAAGTCTAGGGGGGTTCATGAATATCAAATTATTTACTTGTGAATGTGAACTTTGCTCACTTAGGTAACTTTGGACAATGCTTTTTCTCATGAGTCCGTTGATGTGATAATGTGGTGAAACTCTTCCCACATGAAGAGCACTTATATGGTCTCTCTCCAGTATGAATTCTCTCATGATCTTTCAAGGTTCCAGACATAGAGAAACTCTGTCCACAGTGTGAGCACTTGTACGGTTTCTCTCCGGTATGAACTCTCTCATGATCTTTCAAGGTTCCTGACCGAGTGAAACTCTTTCCACAGTGTGAGCACTTGTGCAGTTTCTCTCCAGTATGAATTTTCTCATGATCTTTCAAGGTTCCTGACCGAGTGAAACTCTTTCCACAGTGTGAGCAAGTGTACGGTTTTTCTCCAGTATGAATCCTCTGGTGTGTTTTTAAGTCATTGGATCTAATAAACTTCTTCCCACAGTCCAAGCACACATAAGGTTTCACACCAGTATGAATAATCTCATGCTGTTTTAAAAATTCGAGCAGTGAAAAACTCTTTCCACAAACAGAACACACATGAGGCTCCACATCTGCATGAATTTTCATGTGTCTTTTCAGCTGCTCTGCCAAAACAAATGTCTTGTCACACTGATCACAGCCGAATGATCTTTTTCCTGAGTGAATCAGCATGTGACTTTTGAGATTACATGCCCATGGGAAGCTCTTTCCACACTGATGGCATGTGAAGGGTTTCTCTCCGGTGTGGATTATCATGTGTGTCTTCAAGCCTGGTTTAGTTTTGAAGCTCTTTCCACACTGAGAGCAGGTGCAAGAACATTTCTCTCCTCTTCTTTGAAGTTTCTTCCTCTTCTTCACTTTGTGAAACTGATGGCGTTTCTTCTCCACTTCAATTTGTTCCATCAGACCTAAAATGAACATATTACATTTGACAATTCAAGATTGAAATAAAAGTTATCCCTAGTTTAATAGCAGTTATTAAAGGTGGGGTATGTGATTTTTTTTTTTTTTTTTTTTTTTTTTTTTTTTTTTTAAATCACTTGAAATCCTATTCCTAACCCACTTACAGCCATTGAGTTAGAAGCACTGAAATGAAAATTAAGCAATTTAATCATCTGTGAAACGGGCAGGACTCGAAAAACTCCAGCCAATCATTTCCAAGACCACCTAGAATCAATGGACAGAAAATGCGTCAATCAAACGGTCGTACCATCCCCCCCTCCCCCCATCCCCCTCGAGCGAGTCAGGGCCAGCGTTGGAGGAAAGAAGGTAGGACCTTTTGAGTTGTGTATTTTCAAAATCTGCCGGCCGTTTTGCAAATCACATACCCCACCTTTAATGAAGTATCAAGAATGGACACCAACCTATTTGTTCCTCTATATCTTCATCTTTTATTCTGCAGGGTTCTTCCTTAATCTCCATCTTTTGAGTGTTTTGTTGAGGTTTCTGAAACTGATGGATTTTCTCCTCCACTTCACGTTGTTCCATCAGACCTTAAATGAACATATTACATTAGACAATTCAAGACTGAAATAAAAGTAATCCATAGTTTAATAGCAGTTATTAATGAAGTATCAAGAATGGACACCAACCTATGTGTTCCTCTGTATCTTCATCTTTTATTCTGCAGGGTTCTTCCTTAATCTCCATCTCTACAATAGTATGTCAGTAGTTTCTCCTGGAGTAATTCCTCCTGCTTGCTGCTTCTCCTGTGGGAAGATGGGAATATTCCCCAGTATTTTAACGTCAATAGCTGTGTGGTCATTTAACAGATGCTTAACATTTTTGCATACTAGACTAGCCATAAGCCTTGTTTACACTTTCGCCTGATACAGCTGACAGAAAACAAAGTTAAACGGTTGTGTAGTGTGTCATTCCTGGGATTCAGTGCCTTTTGTGTCCGTAGCATAGATCATGATCTTACTGCCTTAAAATGTTGAACAATATATTTTAAAGCTGTCTCAGCATTCTCGTCACGTCTTTTGCACGTTCAAACAGTGGCAGTACTCACACGCTCGTTTTTTCCAGGCGCATGCGTCTTCACCGCGGAGAGATGAAAAAATCTCAACTAATCAGAATACCGCAAGAGCACCCCAGGTCATGTGACAAAAACTGAGCTTCACCCTTTCCGTAACACTGAAAGTTGATGATCATAAGCCTGTGTGTTCCAATTTCATGAGTAATACCTCACTTACTATACTTTTTTTTTTTTCTTCCTTCTTTTACATTGTTGGGTATATCAGTAATGATTATATTTCAAGATTAATGATTATGATTATCTCTAATGTATATATTTTCTTCAATTATTAAATTTATTTTAACAATTATAATAAAGGTTTTTTGCATGTCCCTCAATTTATTGTCCACACTGTAATTTTTGATTACTTTCCCTTTAAATGAAAGTTGGAAAAATTGTATTAAATGACACATCATAAAGCAGTCATCACTTCTTTGGAGGAAAAACAAATTGGGTTATTTTAATTGTCTATTTTTACCAATTTAATCTTTCAAATTTAATGTGGATAAAGTTAGTAGAAAAGTCCTATTTTAAAAATTACAGTCTTAAAGGTGCCCTAGAATGTTTTTTTATTATTATTTTATAATGTTTCCTGGGTTGCCCTTATAATGTTAGTATGTTTTTTAGATCAAAAATAATCATAATTTAGAAATAAATGGCATTTTTCCTAGCCTGCTTTTAGCCTCTGATTTGAACGCTCTGTTTGAAGGGGCGTGTCTGCTGTGGGATTCAGTGTAACCGCGGCCACTGCTGTGATTGGCTGACATGCTTGCATATGAAATAGCAACGCATTACATGTGAAACTCTCTCCCGAATACTTTTACTACTGCTATTATACGTTTTTACTATAACAGCTATCGAGATTAACGAATCGTGAGATGTTTTTAAAGTATTTAGATCTATTCCCATCACATAAAATGTTGCCGTGATGAGCATTGAGCAGATGACAGTGTGTTGATCGCGAGAATGAAGATCTTATCATTGCAAAGCAGTTTCTGCACTCTCTCTAATGCTGTCACCAATGCAAACACGATGATGTAAATACAGTAAGAGCTTCGTTGTGCAGTAACGTGCGTCATTGATTTCATAACGAGTTTGGCAAGTGTCCAGATAAACTCGCGCTGTGTGGAAATATTGTTCTTTGATCGCTTTCTGTATATAATTTGTTCACAGTTTATATACGATTATTTTCATCCTACTAAAAGAAACGAAGTTGATATTTTAGTCACTGGCTTGACTTACTGATGCATAAACAGTATTGAATGATTTTGAGAGAAAGATTACCTGTCTGAACTTGAACAATTACACATCAGAAAGTGTTGCTTGGTAGCTCGATCCGAGGCCAGCTCTGTATTGGCCCAAGTTGAGGAAACAGTCGTCGGTGAAATGTTTGGAAATTTCCAGAGAAAATAAAATTAACCCATTGTTTCTTCAGAGGCTCAGATGAAGGAACTAAAAAATACTTTTGTGTTCATGTGTACATCCAAACACTGAACAACTGCCATGCTTCGGCTGCGCAGTTCCGCCTGGCATTGAGGGCTGGCATATGCAAATATTTGGAGGCGTACATATTAATGATCCCGACTGTTGCGTCACAGTCGAGTATATGTGGAGATTCGCCTGTTTTTCAGGGGTGTTTTTCAAAAACGAGATTTAACTAAGAAGGAGAAAACAATGGTGTTTGAGACTCACTGTATGTCATGTCCATGTACTGAACTCTTGTTATTTAACTATGCTAACATAAATTCAATTTCACATTCTAGGGCACCTTTAACCCTTTCCTGCATTGAGGTCACTACAGTGGACACAGACAGCCATTCAAAAAGCAATTTCTTTCATGGGTTTTGATTGCATAGTTGTACATTAACCTCTACAGTGGACCCTAGTGCATCATCCTATGCATTAGCCGCTTTCCGACCAAGTAGTTACAGGAACTTAGTAGAGTTGTTCCGATTCCGATACTAGTATCGGAAATGCCGCCGATACCAATAAAAATTCTGGCATCGGTATCGGCGAGTACTTCTATCCGCGTACCGATCCGATACCATTTTCTTAAACAATAACTAGTTATGCACGCTAGCTTTGCGTAACGCTGCAAATCGGAGCTCAATTCTTCTTCGCTGCTCTAAACAGTGGTTGCTTGTGGCAACACAGGAAGTCGTGCTGTTGCCACACAAGCAACCACTGTTTAGAGCAGCGAAGAAGAAAACGCGCGCGCGCCCTGCAGTATGTCCGCAGTTTAGCAGTATTTCAGACTGGACAACCAGCTAGTAAAACGGCGACATGTGTCATATGCCATACTGCAATTTCGAGGGGTGGAACAAGTATTAGCAACTTCAAGTAACACCGAGTAACCCCGCAGAACACGATTACACAAAGGCAAGGGCAGAGAAGGATGAGCCGCGCCAGAATCAACAATCTCTGAAAGCTTCATTCAAACGAAGAGAAATGTTTTCAAAAGACAGCCAACGAGCGATAAATATAACCGACAACATGTAAGTTATTAAGTTTATTATTCTGGATGACCAGCCGATGTCAAAACTGAAATGCCGCTTATTTAACAAAACTGTTTATGGACCTTAAATTATAAAGAGATCATTTTCTTATATTATTCATATATCATTTTTTTTGATTCCTAGATTTATTTGTTGCACTTTTTTATACAGTTATATATTGTAAAACTAAAATACCTTTTTTCAGTTTACAGTATTAGATGTGTGGCTGCATTTTAAGTTCTTTTTCATTTAAGAAAGATAAATAATATATTGCTGTGAAATGTATGTAATATAATAAAAATACTATAGTTCACTGTATGTATTTGTTCATGTTTAATTAAGGGATAAGTCTGAAGCACACCATAAAAAAATTCTATCAATTCATACAGTGCTAGTATGAATTGCAGCTGTATAGATACTGTACAGACCCAGGTATCGGATCAGTACTCGGTATCGGCCGATACCCTGAGTCCAGGTATCGGAATCGGTATCGGGAAGGGAAAAAGGGTATCGGAACATCTCTAGAACTTAGTTATAGGAACTGTCCACTTCTAAACAGTTCTAAGAACTACTCTCCCCCAAACTCGGTTTTGCTGTTTGCGTTCGCACTGGCCAAGTGGCCATAGGAACTGGTAGGAGGGGTAAGGGAGTGACGCAAGCACGGCGACGGTCTTTATGGCGTCATCACTAGACATAGCGCGGCCACATACAACAACAACAAACCAGCATGGAGGAGGCTATCGGAATGTTCCTGTTCTGCTTTGCCGGGACCTTAAAAACGGAGTACGAACGGTGGCGTTTAAAGACTATGCTTGAGTTCTGTACAGAGAAACACAGAAGACGAAGGCTCCAGCATAATATGATCTTAAGTAATATGATGGAAGAAGATAGAAGAGCAGAGCGCAGGAGGCAAACAAAACGACGGGTAAGTTTAGCTAGCATTAGCAATTAGCTGGTTGAATGCGTTATGTTTGTCTTAAGTTATGAGTTAGCATACATAGGCGAATTGCAACAGGCAGTGTTTCTGCAGACAGCGCGCTGCAAGTTCCGTGTTGACAGTGGGCGTGACTTATAAGTTGAACCAATCAACGTAGACCTAGGGAAAGGGAACTAAAAAAGTCCTCGCTCTAGACTAGGTACTGAAAGAGTTATAGGAACTACGGTCTGAGGAACTAAAAAATCCCCAACTTAGTCTGGTCGGAACACGAGAAAAAAAGGGTTATAGGAACGTTAGGTTCTAGGAACTGTAAAAATCCCTCTGGTCGGAAAGCGGCTATTGCCACCAAGTGGAAAGACATTGCATGTCGATTTTATTTTCATTCAAACCAAGATGGCCGATGGCCAGTCAGAAATGCCAAGTTGCTCCGGAATATCCATCCATTCATTCTATATATGCATGTTACTTGTTATGCATTACTTTACTCGTTACATCAAAAAGTAATTGATTAGGCTACGTAACATGTTATTTGTAATGGATTACTTTACTCGTAACATAAAAAAGTCATTCCGATTACATAATGTGTTACTTGTAATGCATTCCTTTACTCTAGGCTTGGTGTTACAGCAACACCAGTTACATCACTTGCCCCCACTGTCGTTTCACGTCAACGGGAGAATTTTTCCATAGGAATAAACTGAAAACGCTCGCTCTGTTCTGCTCGCTCCGCTCCCGTTGTCACGTGCACGTTAGTTTTGTTTTCAAATTAGCGCCAATTCGGGGCGGATTACTTGAATGGTTAGTCCATTATCCTATTTTATTCTTAACGAAAAACACAACAACAAAACAGTGCAATGACAAATTTGCTTAAATAGGCGCTTTTACATTTCGCTTTGACACCAAATATTCCTCCATCAACTTGTCAGTCAGCTCCTCACTCTCATGATGAATGAAACCTGACTCCTGTTGCTGATCTGTGTGGCGACTCTCGTTCGGCTCACGATTTATTAAGCAGACATGTTCAGTTTAAAGCCTGGAACACAC